ATCATCTGAATTTATCATCCGAATTTATTAACAACAGAAAATGCCTGTTGTTTTGCCTTTGTCTCATTTGATGGGCATGCAGCGTTATCCCAGTAGGAGTTTAAGATGATAAAACACCAAGTGAGATAGAAGGCAGACTGAAATGGTTATATCATCATTAAACTTACAGCATCCTTGGCCGTTATGATATATTTGTGCTATGTGATAAGCCTCAAATGAACAATCTGAAAGTAAATGAATGCTTAGGGACATGGTTTAGTGGTGGGATGGCAGGGTTAGGTTAGTGGTTGGACTTGATGATCTTAAAGGTCTTTTCCAACCTAAATGATTCTATGAAAAATAGTACTATAGGTTAGAGAGGTGTTCATGACCCCAGATGTTATGGGTTTAGAAGCTTTCAGTATTCCTCTTAAAATTGTGTGTGTGTGAAATAAAAACTTGATGGATGTTTTGGGAGTCGTCTTCTTTCCCTTTGGTGGAAGGTCAGAGCTGTCAGAGCATGGTTTGTGATGGAGAGAACATCCAAACCTATGGCTGTACCTTCCCACCGTAATGGGGTCAGCTTTCACTGTTCTGGTTGTGCTGAGCCTCAGTCAGAAGCCACATCAATCCAGCTGACAGGGCACCAGCTGGGTGCAGGCTGTTTGCAGTGAAACTTCTACAGGTTTTGATGAGCCGGGGGAAGCGGCGGCGTCACGTTGCTGACAGCCGAGTGTAGGGCCTCGCTTTGTTTAACAAGACACAGTCGTTACTGGGGAGAACACTTCAAGGTGTGTTAGGAGACATTGTCACGGCAGTGCACTGGAAAGTATTAGCAGAGCTTAGCAAGGCATCTGACCGTGATCAAATATTCCTCTTAAATTAAAAGCAGGTTTAGGTATTCTGCTCAGCCTGTTCTTAGGTAGCTAATAATGGAGTTGGATCCTTTTGCTCTATTTTGAGGATGTCTTACTGAATCATGCATGGAATGGTGTGACTAATTTGTGGAACAGAAGTCCCTGTGCATCAGCTGTTCACTGTCTTTTCCTGGGGGGAAGATAGGACTTTTTATATTGAAAGACACTGATCATTCTTTTCAGCATATCAAAGAACAAATGTACTGTGGGCTTTTCGATTGAAAAAAATAATAGAACAAATGGCTTTTATCTGTATTTCCATCATTGCATCTGCATAAATCCCACCGATGCTAATGGCACTTGTAGCAACATAGATAAAAGACAGTCACGCTGTCAATGAGATATGGAGCAAAACAGAACAAGGCACAGCACCGAAGCAGGAGGGTTCATCTCTGCAGGGGCAGCCTGCAAGGGCGTAACGCAGCCTGCCTGGAATAAACTATTGGCAGGCAAAGCTAAGGGTCTCCAGAGCAAAGTACCTAACAGCGGCCGGTGCAGCGGCTGTGCAAATTTACGGAACGCGGAACTCTGGCTGCCTAGATGGATCTTTGCGGAGAAAAAGAAGAATTTGGTCTCTGCGTCTGCTCTGCCCTAGGCGTGCATGTGAAGTCTGTGGTGGAAGGCACCCAGAAGGACAGCCCAAAAGCACCTGGGCTCTGTGACTGGGAAAGAACAGGTGGGACTATGAGGGCTGAGCTACAGCTCTCGGTTGTGGGCGTAATGGGGTGAAGCTGAAACCAGCAGGCTCACCTCAAAGAGCAGAAAAGGGGTGAGGGGGGAGTGCAGATGGGTCAGAGAGGCAGACTTGTGGGATCCTGTAGAGATTAAGAAAGGAAAAGGAAAAACAGCAAGCAGCGTGTTTTCTAAAAGTATGTAGAAATACACGATAAGAGAAAATTAGGTAAGAGCAATACACTTCATCCTCACAGCTGATCACAAATGGTAACGTTAGCCCTGTGAGAAGAGGAACTAAGTTCTGGGACCTGACCCTAGGACATAGGTGTTAAATGGAGTGGTCTGATACAGAACACAGAATTATTTATTTCAGCATAAGCCACGGTGTTGACAAAGTCAGCATAGCATCTGGTTAGCTTCGTTCCTTGACAGTTCTGAGAGGATTTTGTCTAAAACGCAGTTTGACTTCTGTCCAAGTTCTATCCACGGACACTTGAAAACTGTAGACCGAAAGCAGCAGACATGCTGACACCAGTAATTGCTTTGACCTAGATCCCAATATTAGGGATTTTATTTTTTATCTTTTATTTTGCTACTTAAAATAGTATGGGTTGTCCTTTTTATTAGTGTAACGTACAGATTGAGTTTTCAAAGCAAAGAACGAAATTAGGAACTTATTATGGAAGGCTTCTTTAAAAGGAAAATTGTGCCAGGACTGGTTTTCATCAGCCCCTTTCCTAGGATCCCACCTGTAATGTGGTTCTCGCACCTCTCTTGCTATCCAAGCTCAAGAAACTCAACGTTGCCTTTTAACAAGCGAGTCAGGAAGGCAGGCTTTCTGTCAAGCGACACGACTGCTGCTGTCTTTGATGTACCCTTCTCATTTTACCTGGGGCTGGGTGATATTACCTTTACTGTCCCACAGCCTCTTTATGGTCTGCCAGCATTTCCTTTCTTGAAAAAGCAGCGTACGTGAGACATGTGCTTCTGAAAAAGCACCGTGTTGTAATCTGAGATACATTTGGATATTCTTAAGTCCACAGACAAAAACGGCAAGTTATCTTTTTATCCCAGAATATTCATAGTAAATAGAAAAAATAGAAATCTTATCAGTCCTTACTGCCCAAAGGAAGTGCATAAACAGGACTCCCGAGTGTCTGCAAATGAAGCTAAGTTCAGAGGGGTTGAAGAGGTACAGCTGAAGTGTGCATAATTCTACTTGTAGAGAAGCTACTGGGACTACAATAGAAAAGATTGGCACTGATTTGAAAGTACCCCTGCTGCTCTGGTAGGGAAGTGGCCACGCAACTCACGGTAGAGCTTCGCTGTAAGCAGATTAGCTCCCAGCTGAGTTGACTGAACAAGGTACGAGGTAATTTTCCTACAGGAATGTAGGTGTGAGCCTTTAAATAAAAAGAACTGCTGTTGACTTCAAAACTGAGCCACTAGCGCTGATGAATTCTTGAAGAAGTCAATTTACCATCATTTAAAACTATTTTAGAATAGTTGTTAATTCCTTCAAAAAAGAGCATGTGCCCTTTCTATTTCTGCCTATGTGTTTCCTGACAGATAGTGAAGCAGGACTGAAAAACCTGTGAACGCCATGGAGACGCTGTTTTGTCAGGGTTGCATTGTGACATATTCATGACCTTTTTTTCCTTTGCTTCCTTAACTATTTTTTTAATTTCCTTATTTCATTTCTGTTCGGGGTGTGTGTGTGTTCATTTCAGTGATAGCCTAGTTCATCTCATAAGTTATTTAATGCTATTAAGCCTAGCAGGCTTAATACCACATGAGCCAGCTAGTCATCGTGCTTCCCAGGTCAGCTGTCGAACACAATAAATGTATTGGAAGTACGTAGCATAAATCTATTTCATCAAAACGGCTATATAGTTTCTCTTTGTCAAAATACCTACCTGTTGGCTTGCTTTGCTGTTTAAATGCTCTTCTATTTGTTCCTAACTTCCCCTGTTTAACAGCAGACAGACCCAGGGAGCACTGAATGAATCGGATGATCCCGAAACAGGCTGTCTAACTGATAACAAGCCAACTTCTCGACACTTCTATCCTGTCGCCTTGCTGCTTGTCAGCTCACACTTGCTGGTTGTCTGGCTTATTTTAAGTCTTGCTTTGCTATTAGCCAAATATCAATAAACTTCACTCGTGTTCCTTTCTTTTCTACAAACAGCAACAAATTTAACTTTAGAAAAAGGAATTATGCTGTAATATTTCTACAATCTCAGACCCCAAGGATTCGTCTTTAAGATACAAATGTCTGAAATGTACTATGGTTTTGTTATTTTTTTTTTCCCTGAACTCTTAAGAAGTATAACTATGCATTGAGTGAATTGGTTTGCTCTTTCTGTTCATGGTGAAGCTTTCCCACTGTTGTTAGCTCAAAGAAAGCCCACTTACAATGCTGTCACTGTATACAAGAAGGTGTGGAATCCTGAATGCTTGAACCCCTCTTTCCAGAGTAATTAGTCTGACAAAAAAAAAAAAAATTAAGATGAATTTGCACAGCACAAACTAACCCCTAGACAAATATTACGGGGCAGTGGTTTGTGAGACTTAACTTGCATTGTGTTATTCTCATTGTTATTAGCTGATGGGATCTTTTTTGTTTAACAAATGATTATTACTTTGCTACAACTAACCCTTTTCTGTCAAGTAACTAAATGGAATGGAGTAAGTTCTGTTTTGTAATGAAATTAACCTGTTTGTAATTGTTGCTTTAGTTGCTTTTGCTTTCAAGACACTTTTATATTCTTTTTAAAGAAGTCCTGTTTATGTCTTGATGCACCATTTTGGCACTTGTGACTTTTGTACTGTATGTGAACAAGCACCCTTCCTTTATAAAGCAGAGAGGTGGATTGGGCTGTTTGAAAAGCCATTCTCTCTTGTTTTTTTCCTTTTTTATTTTTTTTTTTTTTCTCATTGCAAAGCCGAAGAAACGGGAAATGAAGCAGAGATGAAACTTTCCTTTACAAATCTCTAGGGCCAGACTTAATAAAATGCCTTATTCCTAGAATACACGTTTGTAGGGCAACGTGTACTCTCACACTTATAGTAAACAATTTGAAAAAAAAAATATGAGAAGGTTTAAAAGGCAAATATATTTCTGGAATTAGAACAAAATGTATCATTAAAGTATTTAATTTTTTTTTACGAAACTTTAAACCTCAAGGGCAAATATATTGGGGGTGGGGAGGGGAAATCTTATCACCTATTTCTGAGGGCAATAACTGTACTGGGCCTGGCCTTGGATTTAATTTTGTAAGATGTATCATCACTTGTGGAAAACAAAAATGTAGAGTTGAATCTTTGTTATTTTTACTTCAACTGTTGCTGAAACTCTGCAATGAACAAATAAAGCATATTTATTTATTCCGTGTTTCATGAAGTTGTACTTTTTCCCCCTTTCACTAGAGAAGGATGCCGCATAGAGAATGTACTGAAGAATGTCAAATGCAGAAAGTATGCATTCAACATGATACAGCTGATGGCTTTCCCAAAGTACTACAGACCTCCAGAAGGGACATATGGAAAAGCTGACACCTAAGTTTAACAAAAATGTAATCAGGAACATACATCATGCTAATTAGTGAATATAAAAATCGCTGTTTATGACTTATTAATTGGGAATGTGTAACCAGCTGAGGTGTTATTATTATCAGGTTTTATCATTTTATATTAAAATAGCTCCAGTCAGTCGTTATGAAATAAAATGTCGTGAAAAAGCAATGGACTGAATATTCTCAAAACCAAATGTAGTCAACTTTTCTTTGTGAAGTTGAAGTTTAGTATGACTCATAAGCCAGCTGGAATTAGTTTTTTGGGTCATTTGATCGAAGATTAAAAAGGGAAATGTCATTTGCTATAGCAACTGAGGTTAGCAATCTGGAAGGTGGCATTCTGACTCTGAACCAAAACCTGAGATTTGATTTAAGGAGTCTCTTCTGCTTGAAATAGTGTTTTCTGGAACCAGCAGAGCACCGAGGTCTTGATCACTGGTGATTAAATCCTTCACAGAAGTGTTTATGGAAGATGTTAATGTTAATACCTGAGCTAAATATAATTTTGGTAATTACATTTAGCTTCTTTACATAAGCATGGTAACTTCGTAATATGTTTTTAGTAATTATAGCCTGTAATTTCAGCAATTCCATTCTGATTCCTTGCAGTTCCTTTGGATGTATCATTCTTGGCTTTCTGTACCACAGCCAAATACCACTTATTCCACTTTCACATAAATCACATTGAAATCAGGGGGATTAATTCTTCAAGTAAGGTGACCTGAATTTGACCTGTCATGTTCCCGTTTACTGTAAAGCCCTAAAACTAAATTTTCTTTAGTGGTAGGGAAAATGAGTTGTATATACACGAGTTAATGTATCTTTAGGCTATAAAAACATGTATGTTTTTACAGAGCCTAAGATAAATGTTATAATCATGAGTAACCTGCTGTATTAGCACTAGTTAGCCACTGCAGCTGATTTATATCAAATTTGTAATGCTGCGTGTAGACACTCTAGGATGAGGAACTATCAGCTTTAAAAATGAATGTTAATGCTTCTGCCAGCATGTGTTAGTCCTGAAATTTGTCTTGCGAAGAACATTTGTGTTTTCTAATTGTATCTATTTATTGCCTCCTTCTGCCTCCCAGAGAGAAATACAATTAAAAAAACCCAACTATTCACTGGTTACTGACCTTTATGTAACGCATTCATTCTGAGAAAAAAAATATCTAGAGCAGAAGTGTGAGAATTTTATCCTAATGAAACTGCACTGGGAATTTGAGCATCTGTAGGAAATTGTAATTGCCATGGATAAAGAAGTTAATGCTTGCTTGCTCCGGTGGAAGTCAAAGAAATCTTGATGCACCACGAGTTATAATTCGGGGTTTTTAATCCATTAATGCTCATTACTGGGCATAAATCGGTAACTATATTAGTAAAAATACATATTTAAGAGCCTGATTCTGCAAACTAATTGTGATTACGTGGAAATGATCTATCGTGTGAATAAAATTAAACCCATCTTGTATATTTGCAAGATCAGGCTTTGGGGCTTACAGGAGAACATCAGGAGGAGGTCCTCATTCCAATACTCACTGACTTCAGCAAAGCCAGGAATTCACCTGTGCAATATATTTGTCTAACTAATTGGAACTTTTTCCAAAGTAAAGCAGGACATTTAAATAGCATTTTGGTGCATTTGTTGTTTATTTCTATTATGTAATGTGCTATCACAAATGGCTTCTATGTTCTTCTGGAATGTGTTACTTCAACAGTAGATGTCAGAAGACTTGGCATTGCATCGTAGGTAAGCTCAGGCAGATGAGAATGTAATGCCTTGATGTTTTCCTGTCGGGTACCAGTAGAAGTGGGCACTACTCACTGGGTGGGTGAACATGTGCATAAATTTGTGTTTGGGTCTTTAACTCTACCATAGCTGATCTGTACAAAACTTTTTTGCAGAGTTATGGGACATAGGAAAGTAATATTTTCTTCTGTCAAACTGCCGCACTAGCACTCGCTATCTGCCATGTTTATTGCTAGCTTAAAAAGACCTACACGTACAGTTTAGAAATAGTGAAAAATTCCTCATGCACCTCTGAAATAATCCCACAGATGTACAATAGAGACTGCTGGCCTTCCTACAGTAACTCTGAAACAATCTGTAAAAGTCTGCATGGGAATGGCATTCACTGATGGATACTTTAGATTCCGATAGTCCTTTGTCTTAGTCCCATGGGCATTCTGTCAAGTTAAAAATATGAAATTCTCTAATTTCCTTCTTAGCAGGAAAACAGTCTTTCAAGATCAGCGGTTTAATCCCACGTGGGTTCTAAATTGCTATTGTGACTATCATGTCACCTTTATATTTAAGATGGTTTCCACATTGAAGCCATGGTTTTGGAGAGGCAAAAAAAAAAAAGAAAAAAAAAAAGGCATTGGATTACTGTCCTTTTTGTTTTAACAGACATTCCCAGTACATTCTTGTGAAAAGAAATAATCTCTTATTTGTTAAAAATAAGTAAGAAAAACAAAAACAAAAACAAACCCCACATCAGTGTACTGCAGTGAAAGTTCATTGGGCTTGGACCATTACAAAAGGTTAGGCTGGGTTTTGTGCTAAATAAGGCTGAACTTTTTCAAGCCAATTTTTTGATCAGAACATCTCTTAATAGGTCGCAAGACCCTTGTAAAACCCGCTGATGTGGTTCCAAGTCTCCTCAAAGAGCCTGGTTGCTTTAGTACTGAAACAGGCTCAGACGTTTCCTTGTTTGGTCATTGCCTGCTGTGGGCGATTGTGGTCCCTGTAGGCAAAGGTTGTGTCATCAAAACCACGCAGTCAGCTAAGCATGTGTTCAAAACTGGTGTTTTTTCTGGTTTGCTGTTTATGAAGAAACAAAGGGGGGGTTGCTGCAGTTTGATAGTTACTTGGAGTACAGTTACTCTTTGTAGAGGCACATATCCTTGTAGTTCACTGTGAATATCAGAGGAGTAAAATTAAGCAAAGGATTTTTTTTATGAGGAAGCTACACCCTTTGTTTTGCAAAGTGTTAAGGGAAGCATACTGATCTTGGTGGCGGATTCATAGAAAATGTTCCATATCTGCTCTCTTAAAACTTTTGTAAGGTGTAAAACGATCTGCTTTGAGGGGAGGGCAGTTCTTAAGGGCTAGGAGGTGAGCATTCAAACATATATCTGGTGTCTAAAGCCAAATCCTGTCTTACTCACAGAAGATACTATTTGTAGAAATAAGGTCATCAGGATCTGCCTTGAGGAATCCTGAAATAAGGGCTTCAAGCTTTGAATATTTGTACAAAGTGTTACACGCTTAAATGGGGGTTTTGTACCACAGACTAGTGTCTAAATAGAGAGCTAGCATAAAATGCCTAAAAAAATAAGAAAAGGGAAGTTGTTTTTTCTCAGAGATGATAGTAATACTGTTATAATGCATAACATGCAAAAGCCTGACATTATTAAGCAGGCAGGTCTTTTTTTCTGAAGTCTTCTTTTGGGGAATTTAAAATATGTTCTTGTTAATGTTTGTACTTCGGCTTTTATGGAGCAATGAGGAAACAAACTTTTAATTATTTTATCTGATTATTATCTCTGTGAAGCTGTGTATTTTGATGGAATACTAGCAATGTATGTGTTACAAAGAACAAATTTAGGAGGACAGCTGAAACAAAATATTAACTGAGAAAGAGCCTTAATGAAGTCCTTTGCAATGTTAATTTTTGTACTGTCTGAATTTTGGCATTATGTAAGCGAAATAAGGAAATTAACAAACACTTCCTGTGCCTAAATCAGTCAGTCCTGATGAAAAGTCACTTATTTGCAGTGAAATGAAATGTAATGGTATTCTAAATCATCCCTAGTAATTTAGGTGTAAAGAAGTGCCACGTATCATTTTGAAGCCCACTGTATAATATGCCTATTATGAGCTTCAGAAAATAGGCTTATTTTTATTTCTAGTTGAAACACAAGTTCCAGGAATTCCTGTGGTCCACTTAGCAAAAGCAGAAAATGCGCTGAACATCAACCAGAGTAATAAAGAAAGAAATCGCATTAAAAACTGCAGCAAAATTATTTGCGTGAATTAATGTATGTAACCAGCTAACGGTCTTAGACTTATATTGTGTCAGTTGGCTATGTTGTAAACTTGAAACCATTGGTATCTATATCTATGCTTTTTTTTTTTATTATGAAGAAGTGTGCTGTACAGGCAATGCCATGAGACACGAATTTGCATCTTGCTTTTCACTTATCTGCAGCTTAAAAGCAGATGTTTACAATCAAAGTGCTGTAATATAACTTACTGTTCTTCGAAACAAAAACTGACCTTGGAAAGTGCATGTTTAAAAAACAATCATACGAGTGCTTTTATTTTGAAGCAAAAAAGAAAATTCCCAGACTTCAGTCTCTAGAACATTGATTTTTTTCCTCAGTCACATAACACGTTGACTGTTGTGTTGCCAGAGCATTGAGCTTACACTCTGCAGCACTCAAACATCTATTTGGTCTTTCTCTCGTAGCATCTACTGAATAAGTAATGTAGCAACAATGAATTTCAGCATCTTACTCATGATCCGAGATTAAAAACTTGCATTTGCTGAAATAAACATGAAACTTAATACTTGAGAATAAATAAAATAGGAGACACTTGTGAACCAATGTATTCCGAAGAGCTGAAACATAAAGCATGGGGTTTGCTTGGTGACAGGGAGAACGAGTTATGGTAGAAATCTGACTGTGCTAACAGAGCGCCCTGGACCTGGGGGAGTTGGAGTGGTGAGATTGGACCACGCTGCCCTTACTTAGCTCTCCTAACTAGTGGCAGTGGTGTTTTGTACTCTTCCCTTGCATGCAAAGTACTTTAAAAACTTTTCGGCACTTTTGTTTCTGAACGGTCTGACTTCAAAATTTCTAGAATCCTGAGTTACTTTGGTACTTGCTTTTGTTTTGTGTAGCTGTTCCTTGTAATGCTCCTGTCTCTCGCTCTGGAGCACATGGGGCTATGTATAAGTACCATTAAGAGGACTTCGGTCCGTAGTGTGTGTATGTTCAGAGAAATGAAGCACAACTGCAGCAAGTCAGCTCTTTTTATATTTCAGGATTTAGCATCTTTGTTCCATTGCTGTCTGTAAGCCATGTCCATTGTACACTGTGTGTATATTTTTATTTAAATAAACGTGATGTCTATTTTTTATGTTTCTGACTTTTTTGTTTGTTATTCATTTTTCATTTTCATTATGGTGGCGTTGCCCAGAGGGCAGATTGTGCATGATGCTGAGAGTGGGCTCCCCCCTAAAGGAGGCAGTGGAAGCCCACCCACAGCACTCATCCCTGCTAGGAGCAAGTGTTTCAGAAAAGCTCTGATACAACAGTAAAAAGTCTGCAATGACCATAAATTAAGCATTCCTGTTGTTCCTAGTCTTAATATAACTTCCATCTCAGAACCACGTGCGTCCTGCATTTTCAAATTAAAAACAAGCGGAGCATTAAAATACCTGTAAAGGAAACCCTTTTCAGGTGACTTGATCTGTAGAGTGTTATTCAGTGCAACAGAGGTGGAATCAACAGCTTTCGTAATGAAGACTATTAAAAAGGCGACGTGGCATGCTATGGCTGGTATTTTGTCTTCACCACCCTAATGCTGGATTCTGGACCTTGGGAAACAAGTAAGGGTTGCTTCTGTGCTTTTTTTTTTTTTTAATTTATTTTGGAGCTGTTGTTGATAACTAGATTTTTTTATATGATCTGTTATCACAGTGAAAGGTAAGTTCTCCATGGTTGGCTGAAATGTAGCAAATAGACCTTTTTGGGTATATGATAAAATGTGGCTCAGCTTTATTAGTACTATGGTCAGAAGGTTGTTGCATAATTTACTTTCTCTGTTTATAAGTTAGTATGTGTAGATGTTTTACTGTGATATATTCAGTGAGATTAATTACCTGCAAGGTTCTTGATAACCTTTAGAAAGCACCAGGAACTAATGGTAACTATGGAAATAAGTTAGAAAGCTGCTAGCATTCAGCCTAGGAATTTTGTTTCTTACTAGTACAAGTGACAGTCTTTAAAAAATACTTTGTCTCACTTGGCATGCTTACGGATTTTATCTTTTGTGTCAACTGGAAACCACTTTTTCCTCATGACAATGTAAGAGAGAAAAGGAGGAAGAACCTACAACTGTAATGAGATGGTAGAGCAGTATGATAATAAAAATACATCCTCATCAATTCCCTTTCCAAAGTTACTTTGGGGTGTGTTTGAGTAGAAGTATGACCTGATGTTTCTGAACCATAGCTTGCAGTGGTCTGTGCTGGGCTGTCCATCGCTGGCACTGGGAACGTGCGCACAGAAGCGCTGCTGCTGCTAGGCACCTCAGTGGGAGCTCTCCTGCGCGCTTAGTGTCAAGTCTTGTATGGGTCGCAGCCTTTAGTGGTTCTGTGACGGCTGTTGTTAATGGAACTAAGAGCAATAAGGTCCTAGATGCAAACGGGGCTGCGCGCTGCTTGCTTTGCCCAAATAAGCAGACCCCATGCATTTCTGTGTAGGCTGCCCAAGCACAGTCCTTACCCAGTGCATCAATGCGAAGTATACTTGCTCTGCTGCAGGGAAGATTTTTGGCATCGTTAGTGGAGAAGGTGTAAACTGCTTCTAAATAAACTGGGATAAGAACTCGAATTCAAAGAGCAACTGAAATTTTTTGCATGTGTGTGCATACATATGTGTACGTATGCGTATCATATATACACTCGCATATTTTTGATACATTTTGCATGTGTGTGCATACATATGTGTACGTATCATATATACACTCGCATATTTTTGATACCCTGTAGGATGAGAAAAGGCAGTTAAATACGGTCAATTAAAAAAAACTGAACTTGCTGTATTTCTAGCAGTTGAATGCAGTTTTGCTACTGGAAGTGTTGCGCAGAAGATAGGTTCACATGAACAAGGCTTTAGCAGGGCCTGTAGTGTGCCTGGTGGCGTATGTAGACTCTAATGGTAAAAGCTGCTTCTGGGAAAAAACAAAAGGAGAGGGAAAGGGAAGATGTTTCCCAGCGGCTCTCTTTCGGGGGTGTTTCCCAGACTGAGCCTGCCATTCCTGTCAGGAGCCTCAGGAGCTCAAGCCTTGCCTGGTTGGAGGTGCTCATAACACTGGCGGCCCTGACCAAAGTGGGCCTCGGTCAGGGCAGTTCTGCCTGCTGACAGGTTGTGAGGTTTTGTGTATGTCTGTCTTTGGGTCTCTCATGAAAACCAAAGGCTACAACCGAGGGGGCAGGAAGAGGGGGAAGGAAGGGGCGAATTCTGTGCCAGTGGCAATCGGTTCCCCTAAGAGCCTGCCGAACAGCACCAGGCTGCAGG